GTGATCCACCCGCCTCGGCCTCCCAAAGTGCTGGGATTACAGGCTTGAGCCACCGCGCCCAGCCCTTGTAGTAGTCTTAAACGAAAAAAGTATCAACTGATTAGTGTTAGTTTTATTAAGTGTGATAATGGCTCTATGCATCTGTATTTGAGGAAAATGCATCAAAATCACATGGTGTCTTGAACTCAGGCCAGGAACAAGGGCTCTACCATCTTGGAATCATTCTTTGAGAAATTTCTTTCAAGGAATGTGCAGTTTCTTCTCTTACTGTACAGCCCTGAAGAGCTGGCTGGGAAGTGACCCCATTTAACAGATAGTTCAGAGAAAAGCTGATTAGGAATTAAGCCACCTACCTGCCCCTGCACCCCCAACCCTACACCAGGTGGCATGCTGATTTTCCCAAGGCAGGGAAGGTACCCGCAGAGGGGGGAACTCACCAGTTCAGCATACTTCTTGCACAGAGCGGCCAGCTTCTCCTCTGGGGTACTCAGAGTATTCAATGTCTGCATCAGCAATGTGATCTCCTTCCCTGCAAAGCACAGGAGAAAAGATAAGCAACTTCTTCTCCGGGGGTCCCCTCCAGGCCTGGGCTCACACTCGTGAGTGCTAAAGACAGCCCTCCCCATCATACCTTGTATTTTGCTTGTTGATTAGCTGCCTTCCTTGCTATAGAGACCAACTCAATCCTTTCCTCACTGTAGCCCCAGTGCTGTCCATAGTAACATCACAGAGCATATGCTCAACAAATGCTCATCAAATGAACGACTGGACCCTAGTGAAATCTCCTTATAGGGCACCATGGTGGGAGGAAAAAAATTGCCTGCTCTACCAATAGACCAAATGTGTCCCACTTATGATTTCAGGGCTACTGTTTCAATGCAAGGAAGGCCCACCCTCCTGATAGAGGTAGGATCCAAAAAGGAGTAAGTATCTTAGCCTCCTTGAGAAATACTAAACTCTTGTCAACAGAGTTGACAAACCTCGAATTTTAAAATGAAGATACTTTCCATATATGTGATCCTAAGATTTTTTTTTTTTTTTTTTTTTTT